ATATTTTATTGTATTATATTGTATTATATTAAGTTATGTTATGTTGCATTATATGATATTATATTGTATTAGATTCTCTTGTATTATATCAGAACAGATTATACTTTATGTTGCCTCGCTTCTTTTGGGGGGGAACAAGGTTTGGGCCACGAGGCTCCTGGGGCCTCTCGGCTTTGTTTAAAAAATCAAAGGTCGGCAAGGATTGGGGTTTAGGGTTTAGGGTTTAGGGTCTAGGGTTTCGGGTTTAGAGTTTAGGGTTTAGGGATTGGGAGCTGTAGATATTGCGTACTGGGACACCAAGAAGAAGCCCTCTTGGGTTTAGGGTTTAGGGCTTAGGGCTTCAGCCAGCCCGGCTGCAGATGGCCTTGCGTGCTGGCCTCGTGCACGTAGAAGCCGTAGAGGTTGTGCACTTCGCGATGCTCGATGCTATACTCATCCTCATGGCACCTATGCAAGGTGTCCCTGGGAAGGGAAATCTCGGGGCCGTCAAAGACACTTGGCTCGTTCATGTCGTTCCAAGTATAGATCTCGGCAGGCCAGCCGGGATATGAGGAAAAGTCGAAGAGCTTCGCCCACTCTCGCCTCATTCTTGGATCACAGAAGTCCGGATAGTTCGAAGGGCCTGGCCAACAGAACCCCTCGAAGTCCTGGGCGGGTGAGCTCGAGTTGCCGGGCCTTTTCACCAAGAAGCCCTGCCCTTTCATACGGGCCGCCACGGCATAGTCGGCATCACCGGCGAAGAGATGCGGATCGATGATGGTGACCAGCTTGCGCTGGGTCCTGTTCAGCTCGTCCAGCATCCGCCGAACCCCTTCTCTGGGGAAGTGGTCCGGGTCCCAGGTGAAGTAGCGCTTCTGATTCGTGTGCTCCAGATCCAGCCAGATGAAGTCCAGGGGTATCCGGTGCTGATCGAACTTCCCTGCCACCTCCAGCACATCCTCGCCAGGGTGCAGACCAAAACGGCGGGAAACTGCGAGGCCCCGAACCCGTGCACTCTGACTCCAGGCCCTCCAGTGACAGAGGCCTGTCTGAAAACCCTCAGCCCTAAACCCAAAGCTTCCGAAGCCTTGAACCATGGTGCTAGAGCCCTGACGCCCTCAAGCAAAACAGATCTGTCCTCGACAGTGATGTAATTCCACCTGGACTGGTGCTTGCCCAAGACGGCCAGAGGCGGCATGCGAGGCCACCCCGTGACAGCGTGGTACCTTGGGCCACCATGCAGAGCTTCGGGCTGAGGGTTTGGGGGTTTAGGGTTTAAGGGCTTAGGGCTTTAGGGGTTTAGTGGTTTTGGACCCTAAACCCTAAGCCCTAAATCGGGCTTGGGGTTCAGGGCTCAGAGGAAAGATGAGCATGGGATACAGAGCCACAGCAATCGAAGCGAGAAGATGGCAAGGAGCATGAGCTTCACCGCTCATTTAGGTTTAGAGGTTTAGGGGGTTTAGGGTGTTTAGGGTTTTGAAGTGAGGGAAGAGTTTGCGGTGGTTGCGTATTTTTTAGGCAGCAGGGACCGATGATACAGGGGGTTTACGGGTTTAGGGGTTAAGGGTTTAGGGGTTTAGGGTTTAGGGCTTTACGGTTTGGAATTTCGGGGTTTTGGATGTAACCAACCATGGCTCCGAAGCTGCGCAGATGTCGAGAGGCCTTGTGGCTCAGATTTCACCCACTCCTGCCTGATAAAGACGCCGGATTGTTGATACTAAGGTTTTGGGGCATCTTCTGGAACCCAAATTTCCTACAACCCTAACTAAACCCTGAAGCCCTTAAAACCCTCAACCCTAGTCCCATAAACCCCTAAACCCTAAAACCTATTATAAACCCGAAACGTTATTTAAAAAACCCGAAAAGGAGCTCAGTTTCTTACTAAGCCTTCACGCCCGACGAAACCTGAACTCAAAGGCCCACTCAGCTCCGCCCTTTTGGTTCGTTGTCTAGGGCTTAGGGTTTATAGAATTTTTTTGGGTTTGGGTGCCAATAACGTTTTGACCGAAACGTTTTGACCGAAAGTTTTGGGCAGTTTTTTTTGGAACCACATTTTGAATCTGGGGCTGGGCTGGGCTGGGCTGGCTGCTGTGGGGGCTGGGGCCGGCAGTTGGGGGGCTGGGCCTGGGTGGGCAACCCTGAAACGGAAATTGGTTTATTAGAAAAGGGAAAGGTTGTGAGCTTTCGGATGGCCAACAGCAGCAAGCAATTTCTATTTATTTCTTTCTTGAGGGTTTAGGGTTTGGGGTTTAGGGTTTAGGGTTTAGGGCTTTTTTAGTAATACGGCTAGGGTTAGGGGATTAGGGTTAGGGGTTCAGGGGATTAGGGTTTAGGGGTTCAGGGTTTAGGCTTTAAGAAATTTAGGGTGTAGGGATTTTTCAGGGTTTAGGGCCGAGGGTATAGGGTTGCACACAACCTCCACGATGATGCTAGCCTTACTAGAGGAGCCGCACGTGACGCGTTGACACAAACGCAGAACCGAAGCCTCTTCGCCTAAACCCCGTGTCGAAAGATACCGCAAGAGGGATCGGAACGAGCCCTTGCACCCTGAATCCCTGCCTGGCACCCTGAATCCCTGCAAAAGCGCCCTAAACCCCACAGGCCTGAATCTCTACACCCCCTCTATCCCCACAACCCCAAACCCTACACCCCGAACCCTAAACCCCAAACCCCAAACCCCAAACCCTAAACCCTAAACCTTCAAACCCGAAACCCGAAACGCAGCATCTCCGACGC